CCTTTCCACAGCTTCCTATCCAATGTTGACGGATCTTTATTGCCGCCGCACAGAACCTGGCTACCTGCGCTGTAACTGTCATGGATGCTTTGATTTGGACTGTCTGCACTGAGCAGAAGATGGAGTTTGATACCTACTTGGTCCCCTTTCAATTCTATGCTTCTGAGGTTTTCTTAAAAATATGCCTACGGGGAATATCTGAGTGCGAAAGATTTTTCCCAAAACAATCCTGCTAGAGATTGGCATGTCCCTTTTAAAATAAAACTCTTAAAAAGTGCAGCTAAGAGACATGTGGTAGATAGAAGGGGATTTTAGACATTTTGACCCCCTGAAATAACTGACGTTCACCTCTTAGCCAAGCCACTCAGGAACAGAAACAGGCTGGACGCTGGTGGCCAGTTGTAGAGGAGTGAATTGGGACATGTTATGGCAGATGGAAGAGAAAGAGAGCAATTGTAATGATGGATTTGGTTGGATTTTCCAAGTGGTTGAAAGAGCCTGTGGGCTTGATGTGACAGCATTTTGGATAAGATGGTGAAGTTGGATTAAAGACAAACAGGACAGAAAGAGAAGAGTAATCAGTGAAAGAAAAGAGAAAGAAAATAGGAAAGTGACAGGAGTACAAGATCACTAACCTTCATCTGGCGTGGCACAGAAATAACTTAGTTGGTGGCTAACAAAAATGGCAGTTCAGAAATCAATGGGAAGGTTTTAAGTTAAGCAATAGCTGTGAAAGTGTAGTGTGAATGTGCAGATTGAATGTGGGGCAGATGGGTCTGGGTGGCTGATAATCCTTCTGGATGGACACAGAGTGAGGTTGTGATGAAGAAGTAGAAGGGGCGGGTCAAGGGGATTAGAATTGGTACCAATCTCAACTTTTGGCCCAGCTGGTAAATATCTGGTTTGTGTGTAGCAAGGCCACGTTTGTGCATGACTTTGTCATGGATAAGCAAACAGACCTGATATGTATTACTGAAACCTGGTTAAGCGAGGGTCCCAATGTTGCCCTGGGAGATCTGCCCTCCCACGTTTCAGGTCCTTCATCAGCAATGATGCCAAAGTGGGGGGTGGGATAGTGGCAGTGATACTCAGAGTAACTGATGGCAGTCTGAGCTGTACTCGTGAGACGAATGGCTGTCAGCACTTGTTTGTAGCAAGGTACTCTGCCTGTGTCCTGCCCACTGTAGGGGTCTTTTTGGAGCGCTTGGACCTCATCTCTAGTTGGAGTGTCCAGAGGTGGAATACAGAGATGAACAGAAGACTTAGTAAGATTGCTAATATCCAAGTGGCTATTCCAAGTTCACCAATCCCAGGGCGCCCCTTGGTTTACAAAGAAATTCTGGGGAATGAAACTACAGAAGAAATACTAGAACAATGGTAGAAAGTCTACATATGAACTTGACCAAACAGGTATGAGACTGTGTTCAAGCCTACTCCATGGTGGTAAGGGTAACCAGATGTGTTTACTTTTCTGCCCTTTCTCCATCAGCAGACAGGACACCAGCAACTCTATCAGCTGCCTCCTGCTGGGGTGTGGGAATCAGCAAGATCCAGCCACAGGAGATCACCAAAGGAGAGTTCTGCAATGCTATCTAGAATTCCTTTCATCTTGCAACATCTAAGGAAGAGGATAGCGTGCTGGACACCATGAGTGCTGCTGCTTGTGAGCTCCATCTCTGGCCAACATGGCTTCTTCAGGAGGTTGTGGGGAGGAATTATCAGTTGCATCAGGAGGGTTCCCCACACCTCCTTGGAGTAGATGGCCTTGTCCTGAAAGAGGTCTTTTTTAGATCCAGGTTGGTTGGTTGGTTGTTGGTTATTTATTTATTTATTTATAAGATTTATATGGCCATCTGTCTTGTGAGAAACAACTCTGGGTGGCTAACAGCAATAATAAAAACACAACAAGAAAACAATCCAACAGGCTAACAAGAAAAACCCAACACCCCGTCAACAACATCAATCCAACTATACAATCCCCCAGGCTCTAACCTTGCTATGCCAGTGCCTGGGGGGAAAGCCAGCTCTCAAAAGCTAAGCAGGTGGGGGCCTGCCGGATCTCAAGGGGGAGGATGTTCCATAGTGGTTAGATGACTATCGAGTGTCCAACCCTCTTTTCATAGATAGTTGTGGAAAGAGTGCAAAACACCTTACAAGAAGCAGAATATCTGGATCCTTTTCAATCAAAGTTCAGGCCTGGGAACAGGATGAGATTTGTAGAGTCTTTGGTGCCTTCTGAGCTTTGATTGCAGACATTTCATTACCCAGCTAGGTAACATCATCAGTGCTAGTGAGTGTGGGGTTTGCTCCCTGTTTATATACAGTAGTTTGCCCTGCCAGTGTTGGAGGAGGTGCGGTTTTCTCCTTGGTAGTTCTTGATTAGGGTATTGTTTTCTGCTTGATTGTTTGTCTGGTCTTAATCCCTGCTTATCTCAGTGTAGGCTGCTGGAGAGGCTGTGATCTGGTCTTTTTGTTCCCTTCTCCATATTAGTCTTGCAGCAAGAACAGCAAGGAGACTTGTGGCATCTTAACTAAGAAATGCATTGCTTTTCTGGATTGCAGCCTATCTGATGTATGGAACACTGAGGTTTTACATCCTTGCAGTTTTGAGGGCAGCGAGAAGGGAAAGAGGGAAATGGTGAGAAAATGGTGAGCAGTGGTTGGGTGACACAAATATTCTCACACTGAAGAGCAAGTTAACTTATGTGTAATGAGAATTCTGAGTCTTCATTCTGCTGGGAATCAAGCAGAATATAAATTTAATAAATTATTATTATTCATTTATTCTCAACAAATTATGTTTAATTTCCTGACAAATTCTAGCTTAACTGTTTCACGATGAAAGTGTCTTTTTTTCAAGAGAGGCCATTTTGAGGTGAGTGACATGTCTCCTCACTGGTTTGGGGGTACTTAGCTGTTTCTGTTTGGAATAAAGAGTCATTTATTCAGTTGCTTTGATTTGACAAATGAGCCAGTATAAAACCCACACATATGTTTTTCTTTGCTTTTGCTTACTAGATTGAAGATATTACCCTAATATGAAGAGACGGTGGGGAGAAGGAGAGAATGGGAGATTTCTCCAATGTGGGACAAAATTCCTCAATCAATCAGGAAGCCATGCTTCTCTGGCAGCCAGAAGGAAAGCAGTGATTCTCTAAACCGTCCCCACTCAGGGAAGTCAAATGGGACACTTTTGAACTGAAGAAAGAGTCTGATTGTGTCGATCAAATCCTCATTGGTTTAAAGCTGATATGAAGAAAAAAAGGAGCTGATGTTGAAAGAATCTGGTGGTAGCACTCAAAAGCTCCAGGCCACTGTGGATGAGAATCTCCTCCAGGCTTTCTTAGACCAGCAAGAAAACTGGATGCCAAACCCCTGGCTGATACTGGAAAGTGAGCAGAGGCCGAGTAACATAGAGAAAGAAGGGGCTGAAGTATCTGATGGCAGAGGCGCTGACACTAGCCATGGTGGAAAAGAATCAAATGGGCTGGGTCTAGGAGGCTTACCTTCCCTCGGCTTGACTCAGACGGCAAATCTGTCAGGAATTCCAGAGGATGGGCCAGCCTGACGGTGACAACAACTGGTGACTGTTTATTTTTACTGTTTGTTGGCTTCTTTTATAGGATTTCTATGCCATTCCACTCATAAGTCTTGGGATAACCTTGGGGAAGGAATGCAGAGACTGTTAGCAAAACATGAATTAACCCAGGAATGGAAGAAGACGTGAGAAGGAAGCTCAGGATTGCTCCACCATGCCTCTCTTTAGTATAAGAGGCATGGTGGAAGGGGAAACACTGTCAGATTTTTAAGATTGATGTCAACCCTTTGAGGTAGGCCAAGTCAGGAAACACATTTCACAAGAAACATTGGAACTTGACTTTATTGATAAAGGGTAACAGAATCTTGAGAGCCTGACAGCATTTCCCCTTCCCTCCTTCTTACATGAAAAAGAATCAGAGCAGGACAGTCTTGAGTTTCTTTCTCACCTTTTCCTGTTTTCCCAGGCTAAGTTCTCATGTTCAGAGAAGGTCTCTGAATACCTTCTCCAATGTCTTCTCTATAGCAGCTTGCATAAAAATCTCAAACCATAAAATCCCAAGCCATTATTAAAAGAAGTTTTTAAAAATCCTTTTTCAACCGGAAGGAACTCCCAGAATGCCTTGCATATATGTTATGAAAAGAAGGCCTTCCCCGTCTGCAGGCCGATAGCCCTACACATCATCAGTGCAAGGGAGTGTGGGGTTTGCTTGCCTTGCCAATCAATGCTGGTGGGGGTGCAATTTTCTCCTTGGTAGCGCCTTCATCAGGGTATTGTTTTCTGCTTGTTTCTTTGTGTTAATACCCACGCAACTTTATCAAAAAGTGTCTGACCACTCAACCTACTGCAGCACAACCAACGCAAGCTATGAAAAGGATAACCCTGCTATACGTCAGAAACGTCTCAGAAACAACCAACAGACTAGTACAACCACATGGCATCTCCGTAGCACACAAACCAACTAAAGCCCTCCAAAATGTCTTAAGCAAACCAAAAGACTCAGTAGCCCGAGAAGAAAACGTAGAAATCATCTACAACATACAGTGTAAGGACTGTAACAGCCACTATGTAGGACAGACAGGCAGAAGACTAGCCAAATGCATCCATGAACACCAACTAGTAGCCAGAAGACACAATGGAAACTCCTTAATCTCACAACACATGTCCATGGACATGGACATAGTTTCAACTGGGAAACTGAGCATTCTAGACCAAGCTAAATCCAAAAACACAAATCAGCCATCAATAGACACATAGAGATAAATCATATTTACACACCATTCAAAAGAGACAATACAAAAGCTAAGAAGGAAACAAAAAGACCCGAACACATCCCCTCCAGCAAACAACACCCAGATAAGCAGGGATTAACACCAGACAAACAATCAAGCAGAAAACATTACCCTCATCAAGGAACTACCAAGGAGAAAACCACACCCCCACCAATACTGGCAGGGCAAGGTACTACAGTATATATCAACAGGGAGAAAATGCCACCTGGTTTATATACGTTTACACGTTTAGCTCCACAAATTCCTCTTGAAAAGAGGATCTTCACCACTAACCACACCCCAGGCTGCGTCTTCCTGGAGATAGATGACAGGTAATGATTTTGCCTTGGGGAGGAAGATGCTTTTAGAGATTTCCAAACAGTTGATGGAACTCACAAGCCTTTCCCAGAAGGATTCAGAGAATGTCCTGATTTCTAAGACCATTCAGCCAATTTATTCAGCTCTTCCCAATCTGGGACCACAGCATTTGAAGAGAAACCCCTTCCTTGTAATCCTGTTGGGCCTGAAGTTCATTTAGGGATGAGAAGGTAGATATGCGCCACCTTCTCAGTGGTGGCTATAGAATAGTCTTCCTCTGCCTACCATTGAGTTTAATGTCTTTTCAGCACCAGGCAATGGAGTGCTGCTTGTTTTTTTAACCTAAATGGGGCTTGAAAATCTTAATTCTGTTTTCTGTTGGCTGTTTTAATGGCTTTAATTGCTTGCTGAATTAATATATATGGCGAGAGTATCTGTGTGTTGGCTTCTTTTTTATTTTTTGACGCAGATTTTATACTGGGTTTTAAAGGATAGCCCAGTCTTTTGTAAACCAAACAAATGTTTTCAAAAATGCCCTGGAACAAGGCTGTGCACAACGTCCCTGTTGTCGAGCACTGTTTCCATAAAAGCTGATCTTTCGATAATGTCAGGTGGTGTGTCCAGTTGGAGCACAGACCATAAACAAGACAAAATGGTGATTTTACGTAGTGCTGGAGGTCTTCCAAAAACCATGTAGTTCCCTTTGCTTGGACCAGTGGAAAGATTTGGAACAATGCTTCCTATAGAATAGAAGAGGGCACCTTGTTCTAGTCTCCCTCCTCCCTCGCTTTGTCTTGCAGCTACTTTATCAACTTCTCTTCTGTGGCATTTCTCCGTCCTTGGGGCATATGGCAGCCTAACTTAGGCATTAGGAGGTTATCTTCAACATCTGCGTTGGCCCTCTCACCGCCAGGAGGGATCAGCTCCAGCTGTGGCACTAAAGGCAGAGGCTGCCAACCGGTGACATTTGCAGGTGCAAGGGGCCCTACTCCATGGATGCCAGGTCCAGCATTTGTGGGTGGTTGATCTCACTGCTGCCCCTTGCTGAGGGCAATTCATCTCACCCAGAGTCTGGGCCATGGACATGTCAGGTCATTGTAGCTGAGTTTCCCTCATCTACTTCTAAGGACCTTCAACATCCCCTGAAAGAAGGAAACACCATCAGCCTTGGTGCTCCTGGGCCTGCTGAGAGGAAGACAAGAAAAATGCACTGTGTGTGTACTTTCTTCCTTGAGGCTTAAAAGGGCAGATGGGGTTTTTGAAGCCCAAAGGGCTCCCTTGCAAGTTGGTGTTTGCACTCTCCCATTTATAAAAGCTGTTGTGTCCCTTCATTCCAGGGCGCTGCGTCTGCTGGGCTTTCTGCCCCAGGATCGGATTGGCAGGTGCATCTTGATGTATCTTCATCCTGATGATCGGCCTCTTATGGTTGCGGTCCATCGTAAGGGTGAGCCTGAACTCCTCTTGAATTTGGGAGGCTGCATCCTTCACAGAACAGTGGGAATAAGGGATTCAGAGGATTTAAAGTCCCTGCAGATATACACTGTTCCTCCATCAGGGCCAGGGTCTTCTCACAAGGCAATCAGGGTCTTCCCTGGACAAGGCGATTTTTGTGTAGAGGCTTGGTCAAGGTGGTTGTCCTCAACTGTATTATCTATCTATCTATCTGTCTGTCTGTCTGTCTGTCTGTCTGTCTGTCTGTCAGTCTGTCTGTCTGTCTGTCGTATTTATATAGCCACCCATCTCACACAAAGTGACATAATACTTAGAGGTTTAAATTGTCTTCATGTCCATGTGCTACTACAGGAATGCACATTCAGCAAAGACTCTCTTAAACTGTTATCCCTTAATTTATCCTATTCTGGAATTTTATTCAGTTCATTTCTTATTTTCAGTTTTAGAATTTTCTTGTCATTTAGCTGAAGACCCACAGTTAGGTAGAAACTCTTCCCAAAGGTAGATTGTTCCCTGAGTCTTTTTTTGTGGGGATGAGATGAAACGGGGGCTGGTCCGCTTTGCAACTTCATTCCTGCCAAGTAAATCTAGTTTTGAACTTTGCAGCAATCCTCTTGTCCCCTGTAGCCCACTTAGGAGAAACTGTTCCAGGTGCCCATGAAGAGTGACAGAGCAGCGTGGTATTTTCAGTACTGCTGTCAGGTCTACGATGTTCAAACCCCAATACAGACAGATCTCTTGAAATCCAAAGTAGATTCAGAAAATATTTCATTTATTGGCGGATACATGCAGCTCTGAACAAAGCATTGCTAAAACTAAAGTCCGCGTAGTTTTCCCTCTCCGTTTACCCCCATAGTCCCCCCCTCGTTCTAGGCGCCACTTTCGGTTCTCACAGAGGTGTGACCTTGTGCATTCCTAGCCCAGATAACACGTCTTCTTCCTGGCCTTCAATCTTCCTCCGGCTCTGTCTTCTTTCGCTTCCCCCCCTCACCGATGAGAATGGCAGAATCAAAGCAAGCTAAGAAAAACATTCACTAAAATCAAAGTATACAGATGGCATTTACTATGCTAATAAAACAGTCCTCTTGTTGATATATATTTTGATTGCTGCAGGTTCTGACAACTGCTTTCTCTTTGCCTCCCTTTTTTTTCCAGTCCTGACATTTCAGGCCACCCTCCCTTTGAACACTCGCCCATCTGGTTTTGTACTCAGAATGGGGACTACGCCCTCCTGGAGACCAACTGGTCCACTTTGTGAATCCCTGGAGCAGGAAACTTGCCTTCATCATTGGATGGCACAGAGTCAGACCCTAAGCCTCGGGATGCACCTGGGCTGGAGCTTTACTGCTAATTTTTTTTTTTCAAAGGGTCACAGCTCACAAGGGTCCCTCTGGAATCTTCTAGGTGTGAAATCTCTGCTTGACATCTCAGCTATTATCCAAAAGAATTGCACTGATTTACAGGTTTTTCGCATGCCTATTATGTGTTTGAACCCAGCACAACTGGGACAGTGGAACAGCAGCAGAACGTTGGGCTGGACGTTATAACCAACTAGCAGAAGTGCTGCTGCTCAATCTGTCTTGCCCTGCCAGACACATGTTGACCTGGCCACTGGTCTTGTCTAAGTTCTTTTTATTGAGATTTCTGTTGAAAAGCACCCTATTGGAAGAGTTTTATTCCCCCAGGAACATAATACTCATTTTAGAGAAATAGCATCCGGAGTTAAGGCTCACTGGCTGGTTTTGTAGCAAGCTGCTTACCTCGGTTCATATCTGACACGGTGCTGTCGTTAATACTTTTCAGGGCCCCCCTCAGTGAAGACATCTTTGCCGTGAGCAATCAAAAGATAAACAGTGCTGGAGAAGATACTGCAGAGCTGCAAGGACAGATCTATCAGCTGCTTCTGCAGGTACGTACAACACAAAGCAACCAAAGTCTTACGTATGATTCAGAGGCACGCGGCATAAAGAAATTCCTTCCTATGCTTTCATTTGGCCACTGTAATACTTGGATTTTCCTTTTGTTATATATAGCCAGTCCATAGCAGTTGTGGTTGTGGGTCCTGGTTGGCACTGTGCATTGTGTCTTAACTAACTAGAAAGCTAATCACAGAAATGAATCAAAATGAATTAAACACAGGGGTAAATTAGTAAAGCGTTCTGGGTTTTACAGCAGTTGCGAAAGTAAGCGTGCACTTAATGTTTATGGAAGCAGCTGCATAATGTTCTGCTTATTCTAGAAAGGCAGCAATCTCACCACAATCAAGAGAGATACAAGGACAATGCTAACGTGCTAACCAATCTCTGCTAATTTAGTTCGAAATGCTTGGCTCAGAATTAAAACAATTCTTTGTATGTCAGGGGCCTAATCAGCTGACACAACAGATTGTTCTTTAAATAATCAGGAAATAGCTGCTCCATTGGGTTGACAAATGTAGGTGAAATTCTAATTCCCATGACTCAGTACAAACCAGGTTGTCAGTTCAGGCCTTCTGTACAAGGTTTAATCCATACTGTTGCTAATCATGGTTGCCATAAATCAAAGCTCTTGAGTGCCTGCCAACTTAGTTGTGGACTCAGCGTCATCTTAGTTGTGAATCGGCTTTTTGCACACTGCTGTATAGATCTCCATGTAATCACAGTGGCATATCTCAAGCTAAATCTGAGTTGAGTCCTGCATGGAGCTCGGCCACATCTGTGAAGGTAAACGCTGCTTGGCCCAAAACCACAGCAACTGAGCAAATCTTAGGAAGAGGCCCTTGGTTATAGGCTTAGCTTATCATCAGGTTATAACCTAAGTAGAATCTCTGCTTATAAGTTGTAATCAGAGTGTTGGTTAAAGAAGGTGACAATTCTGAAGCCATGAGACTTTATTAATAGTTAATTAATAGGCTTTGGCTTTAACATGTCAGGGCCCCATGCATTAATCAACAGGGAGTTCTTGTCTTCTGAAACCAGAGCAGAATAGATGATTCACAACTGTCTTGTTCAGATGTAAGATCAGGTCAGATCTGGAATTCTGAGCATTTGTTAGAACTCTGAGTTTAGCAGTGTGTATAGGATACCTTCAGGACAGAATAGCCAAAGCAAGTCCGTGCAGGCCCTTCCTTGAGGACTTCCTACCCCAGCTAACTTAAGGTTAAATAAATGTCACCTTACATGGTGCAGCGTGAGAGCCTCTAACATATTATTTCCTTATTACAATGCCTCTAGGTGTCATAAGCATTTAAAAATATTAAAATGGCACTCAAGTGTTTTGGGAACATTTCCAGCTGTCCAGAAAAAAGATGAAAATAAATATGGGGGTCATATGGAGCCTCTGGGGTTGGGGGGGTAGACTCAAGTAGGGTTTCCCTTCTGCTAAATAGGTGTTTTGTGGCTATCTGCACCCACCACGGCAGCCATTTTGAGAAGTACCCAAAGTCTCCAGTGATCCTACATGGCAGCCATTTTATGAGGGTTTTCCTGATCAAGTCCTGACCCAGAGGTCCCTTCATCTCCCACAGAGAAGCTTACATCTCCATCTTTGTGGGTTGTCCTTCTTTCCTCTTTTATAAACACAATGGAAAATATCTTTGTTATTCTCTCCAACGCACTGGAGAGAAATGATGGTCAGGGACTCAAGATTCTGTCAGCAAGGTAACTCCAAAACCAGAATGGGTTCAAATGGCTATGTTGGGAGAAGATCACAAAAAGAAGATTAAATTTGAATATGGGCCATATCCAGTGTGGAGCTGCAGAGAAACAGTCCTTCCAAAAGTATTTCTGTGAATTTCAGGGACAACTATTGAGTTTATTTTTTACAGAAAAGGATGAAACCTAGACTAAACCAGCTTAACCAAGCATTTATTCTTTTTTCCTGAAGACTCAAGATTCAGAAGCAGGTTAGAGGGAGGGTGATCCGGGGAAAGGCTGGCCCACCAGGGGAGAAATCTGTTTGCACATGTTCTCTGCACTGAGTTCCTGCTCCTGACACCTTTGTCCTCCTTGGTGGCCGTTGACCAAAAACTTTCCCCAAACAGAGATGATTCTGCTCCTCTAGCATCTTTGTTCTTCCACCAACAATCCCCTATTTCTCTTACAACAGTTGGGGGTGATTTGAATTGAACTTTGGGTCTTTTTTAAAATCTCAGCACTTAAGCACCCAAGCTGTGTTCTTGGATTGGTAATATATTGCTAGATTACATGTCAGAATTTAATCTAGTAAATATTCTGTTATTTCTCCCCATTGGGAATCACTTCTCTTTTTTTCCACACATAGGAATTATTTTTGGCTAGAATATTTCTTATCTCTTTTTGATGCCTAAGTCACAGCATATGAAATCAATACTGTTACAATTTCAGACCAGGCTCCCTGATACTCCTTGCTTTCTTCATAAGATTTTCATACGTTCTCTAAGTAGCCCTTGAATGTATATTTGCTGAATGGTAATTTTATTAAGTAGGTGGAACAGGAAATGGCAGTGCTTTTTTTTTTTCATATGAGCAGTATGCCTGATTAGAATCTGCCCAGTTTGGTCAAGAGGGCCTCCTCAGAGTCCCCCACTTTCTGAGGTGCATGGGGGGTTGACAAGGTGTCAGATCCTCTCAGTTGTGGCCCCCATTTTATGGAACTGGGTCCCCCTGGAGGCTCCAGTCCTCCATGCAGACTAAAAAGATTTTGTTATTGATTTGTTTCTTTATTAAATCAATTTATACGTCCACCCATCTCACAGATATGACTCTGGGCAGCCTTTGAACCGGACTGAGCTGGCAGAGTTCCATGCTGGGTTTTACTAGGAATTGAACGCATTAGTTGGGATTTGTTTTAAACGTTTGTCTTCTTCTGCTGCACTGCCTAGATTCCTGGGGGATTGGGGTGGCTAAGAAATGCTGCAAAATAAAGAATTACGTTTAAATTTTACTTCAGCCCTGCCCAACGCTTGGAGAAAAAACAGATGCAGCCTGTACCTAGAAAGAGTGATGCATCTCTGCTCTAGAGGTCCTTGTGTTTACTCTGCACAGTACCAACTCTTTAGGGGACTACAGAGAAGACGGCAAAACAGTTAGACAACCTCCTGTTGTGTATTTTCTCTCTGTAATCTTTTTGCTTTCATTCCTTGTGCCCTAGAGGACTTTCCAGCAAGTCAGCAGGATGAAGAACTTAGATCAGGAGTTGTATGTTGAGACACACAGTAAGTTCCTGGGATGGAAGTAAGTTCATGCCCACCAGGGCGAAGCCATCTTTTGCCACTGAGGAATGTTATGCATGGGGTACACTGGGGGATCCTGGCAGTGGAATTGGCTTTGTGCTCTCCCTAACTGGTCATACCTAAGAGCTGTTGGGTGTTTGTTTAAATCATTTGATCTGTCTTTGAATGATGCATGCCGGCTCAGATTTTTCTCCCGTGAAATTCCCCAAACTACGATTTTTACATTAAAACAATAAGAACGTTAAGTCAGACCAAGAATGAGCGATGTCTTGATATTATAACCATTTCCAAAGTAATTGCTGGTAAACCAATAAGGAGCTTTGGATACCTTAAAGGCAGACACCACCAGATGATGATCATGACGATGCAGAGTCAGCAACATGGCATGGTTCAGTCTCCCCAATTAAACTGCAAAATAATGAAATCTTAGTGATTTTTTTAAGTGGGAAGAGATGCCCAGGCCATTATAAGAGATCACTCTGAGTCCCCGGAAGGCTGCCAGTCCCTTTCATAATAGACTTGTGAGCTTTTGAAGCTTCTTAGTTGCAGGCATTTTTGCTTTTTTATCTTCCATTTCTAGGCAAGGCACGTGCAGCTTCTGGTTGGTTGCTCACCGTGAGTGACACTACCAACAGAGGAGGCCTACCTACAACATCCTGCAGACGTTTGAGAAATGGATCCCCCAGCCTGTCCTATCAGCAGATAAACTGCATGTACAGTGTTAGCAGGTGATCTTACATTAAAAAATTGAGCATTATAGTCCCAGGAGTTTAACTTCTTCCACCACTGTTGTAATAGAGTTCTCATCACATTTTGAGATGAAGCCTTTTTTCATATCTTAATAGAATGGGGGCAGAAGAAAAAGAAACCCATGGAAGGCCCAACTTTTCATTTTCAAGATGACTCTTTAAAGTTCCATTAGAATAGTTATTCAATTTATAGTCATTCTGCCATTTTTCCTTTTTCTCTCCCTGCTGGTGTCATCACTGCATCTACTTTGAAATTTTCCAGGTAATGAGCAGTTTCTTGGCCAAGAAATAACTTTCAAAAGTCTTGGGAGCTGACAGAGTCAGAATTCCGCTCTCTTCTGCCTCCCCCACCCATCCTTTTCCAAATGTAATGGATATTATATTATTATAACCTAGTGGGATATATTCCAGCCTTTAGTGTAGCATTCACTTTTGCATGACTTGTATGGAACTGATTAACAGGAAAAACAGACTTAAAACCAGATCTAGGTTTGGGTAATCCTGTCTGTCATTGTGAAGTTCCAGGCCAAGTCAAGGCAATTATGGGAATCCTCTGCTCTGAATTTCCAACATTGTGGCCCTTTTAGCAGAACTTGAGGAGCCAAAGAACGTCCTTTGGGCCAGTGAATTTTGATGGGATTTTCATTTCCATTCCAAATGGAAGACAGAAACCTTGAACAGACTCTTTTTGCTGTCCTGCAGTTATCTAGAAAACTGCAGCATTTCTGCACTGAAAAGGAAGTGTGATTTCTCTGCAAATATTTCATTATCATCTTCAGAAGATGACGAGCAAGCCCAGTTGATACAGAATGAAATACAGACCTTGAAAGGTACGTTTGAGTGTTGGCATCATTAAAGAAGAAATACAGCAGTATAAAAATATAATTAGTGGTTAAGTAAATAAGTAAAATCTCTGTTTGCCAGAGGTGGGAATCAAATGACTTGTGTGACACTAGAGGTGTTCATTCAGTTTGTCTTACGCAAGGGAAATTCTGGTTATGTTTCTTTTCGTTATCAGAGACAAGGCTATCATGAAGCATTGTTGTGGGCTCTTCTCACGCTGTGATGTTTGCTTTCCTTCCACTAGAGCCTTGCAGTACTTCCCAGTCACTTGTACAGCCAAAGGTGCCATTGTCTGAATGGTTGCCCCAGTGGCAGAGCTGCCACCGACAAACAAAGCTCTGAGTGTGATGTCCACAACTAGCCAGCGCAACTTCAGTAGCACTCTTGTTCATTTTCCACATCCAGTCAGGGAAGTTGACACAGCAATTGCCTTTTCTTTACTTTTGTTTTTTGCAGACTAAACTTGTCTTTCCTAAGAAGTGTGGCTCCTCACGTATCTCTCATTTACTCTGCCCCTTTGCCTTCCTATGTACGTTACATCAGATTAGAATGTCTGCATTGTGGACTCTGATTCCCACATGTGGGTTCTATGGAGCAACTCAGGTTGAAGCTTGAGATTTTTGACAGGACCCCACCCACCCCAGAGCAACCTATGAAATATTGGACTTCCAGCCAGTCACCTGATTATCACAAGAATCGCATATTTTGTTCTTCTTAGTGTGTTCCCCCTCGGGTTTATGGTGTTTATGGCTCTCCAGATCTCTTTTAAAAGTGTTAGATTTGTGGAAGCAAGTTGTGTCTCCTTTGTTCCAGACAGAGTTGTGTTGTGTTGACACAAGGCATCCTTAATGGAACCACTCCCCACCTCTCCATACGCCCCTCTAGCTCCACCTCATTCTCTTGGCTGTGTATGTGTCCTGATGCCAAGCCTGATCTCCTCCATACTAGTCCAACACAGAAAGTGGTTGCCAGTTGTCAGCACTGCTGACCCTGGCAAATTGCTCAGTGCTGATCACGATCCCTGGCTTTCCCAAAGCAGTCATCTGCAAGTTGTACTCAGATGAAAAACACAACACCAATTGTGACCCAGAAGTGTAATTAAGGAAAGGAACATTAACCTTCAATGTCAACAAATTCAATTCTGGAACCACCACCTCTGGTATCAGCCTAGCTTGTCCTTGCATCAGATCTGGACCTTCAGTTGTTGCTACTCATTCAAGTACTTCAACAAGAATCTTCCCAACCCACAACTTACTGCCAAGGTGCAGCTCGTTGATGCCACCCCAGAGTGGAGATGAGAGATTATTTCCTGTTGAAGGAAGAGCAGATATTACTGAGCAGTGTTTACTTCATTGCCTCCCGCCAGAGGACTCCATGGTCTGACTGCTGCTTGTCTCCTTGAAAGGCCAGTCTCACTTTCCATCTCTTCATGATGGAACTTACTGCTTCCAGGGCAGCTCTGCCCTGGGTTTTTCCTGCTAGGGCCAGACTAGTGCCATTTCCTTCATACCATAGACTCTCCATCTCAGAGGTGTTACGTAGCTGATTAAGTCCAGATCATAAGGACCAGATGTTTTCTACTCTTTGGGGCTCAGCCTGCACAGCCACTCCCGACTGCATAAGTGCAGCACCTTTTTCTTGCAGGAGAACACCTCCTGTTGGAAGGTCATTCTGTCGTGCAGCTTGGAGTAATGGCAGTTTTATGAGGTTGGAAAAGAACTTTCTGTCCCCCTACAGTTTTGTGTGGGAGGAAGAAAGGATGGAGTAAGCCCTATAGCCTGACTTCTGTGCTTGGAGATAGGGAGAAAAGAAAGAATGGAAGCAGAGTGAGTTTGTTTCATGAGGCATGTCTACATGTGCTTAGGTAAAGAATTGTGGTACCTTTGCAAACAAGAGGGAGGAGGGGAACTGATTGGTGCTGGTTGTTGCCTAATTTAGATAACCCTCTGCCTTTACTTGGTATCCCCTCCAAAACAGACCATCCCACAGTCCACCAGCTACGACTGTCTTATGTCTACCAATTCCAGATCAGGCAGTGTCTGGTACCTCATTGTCTAAAAGATGGTTGCTTTTTCAGTCTCATCCAGTGTTGCTCAACCTTAACAACTTTAAGATGGCTTGGTGGGGAATTCTGGGAGTTGAAGTCCACATATCTTAAAGTTGTCATGGTTGAGAAACACTGGTCTTATCAGTTCTACCATGAGAAGTAGAGAGGAGTGGTACAGCTGCACCTTCTTTAGCACCCTTGGTGGGATGGGAATGGCTACCAGTCAATTTCTTCTTCTGTGTCTGTTCTCCATCTTTGCTGGAGACAGCTGTTGCAGACTTTATATAATCTGCTTCTTCAGAAGACATTAGAGTTTATACAGAACAAATAATTTGCATGTCCCAGTCTCTTGGCTTGATTTCAAGCCACAGGAAGAGCTGCTACAGGCCCTCTTTTTCACTTGGTGCAAAAATTGATGGCCATACTGGTTCAGATTCTGATGACCCCCACATTGTTAAAGATGGCCAAGGACCAGTAGTTCCCCCACTGATAAAAATTCAAGAGACAGCTATATAAATAGTCAGCTGCGAGCTCCATTGTCAGTGAAAAGACCTGTCTCCTTGCCAGATCACCATTCAAAAGAAAATCAGCAATTCCCCAGCTAATGCACTGGGGGATACCTTCTGAATGGGAAATAATTTGGTAGCCCTCTCCCACTCATCTCAATAAATCTTGTTAAAGAGAACCGTGTGAGAATCACTCTCAGCTTCAGATAGCAGCCCAAGAGGACTTTGAGGCAAAACTTTTTGGGTATGGTCACTTGAAGGCAACTTGAAAACAGACTTTCATCCTAGTGGAGCCTTGCATCCCTCTGATCCTTCAGGCTGGAATGTAACTTTTTTAAATTGACCTTTGGACCACGCTTGCCCTACTTACTAACCTGACTGTCAGTTCTCAGCAGCTTCACCTTCGCAAGTGAACCACGTGTGCTGCTTGTGAAGAAGCTCTAGCTAGCATTCCACAAGGTGGTTCTGCTGCTGGTTGTTTAGCTCAAGGCAATCCCAGACTTCTTTTATGGAAGGAGCTTGCCTGACAACGTTTTCTCAGGTTCCTGTATTTCCTTGATAAGAAGCAGGCGCTTGCATTTTACAGTGATTATGGTGTGGCTTTTCACCAAGTCCTTCACCTGGATGGGCCATAGAGAAGCCCTCTAGTCTCCTCACATTTTATAGAACGGGTGACAGCTACCATCTGGTTGTGTTTAGCAAAGGATCCTTGTTTTTAGCTGGGCTGCATTGGCATTGCACTCCTGCGGTTGCACATTTTACTGCCCAGTGATTTTCTGGTTGATGGCCAGGTTGAAAGGGCAACCTAGCCCTTTCCATCACCATGTATCAGATATTATCAAATTGACATTACATCCAAGCAGTGTCAGAGCAGGGTTGTTTTCTATAGTCTACTAATATTCCTCCAAGTAAAGGAGCTAATCAGTTACCCATATTAACTAGTGCTAATTAATTATGTATATTATTTATATACGTGTCTATTTAATCTCTAGCCCACTTTTCATTGGGGAGCTCAAAGCAGCATACATGTTGTTCCCTGCTCCTGTGAACAACTTGGACTGAGATAGAGGGACAAGTGCAAATTAGGGGCCATAGTGAGGAAGAATTGATTATTTACCAGTAAATGGTTCTTCAGATGAGCATCTGGGAATTCACCCCAAACACCCATCCTTCCACCTTTGAATTTAGTACCTCATTTGGAGCGCTCTAGGTGACAAGGTATGGCCTTGGTTTAATGCTGCTGGGGCAGCCATTGCAACAGGTGGCTGGTGAGAGCTCCCCATTTC